GTGTGTGTGTGTGTGTGTGTGTGTGTGTATGGGTTGCATCTACTTTAAGTTTGTAGGTGGAGGGTACACTTTTACTTATAGAAGTAAGTTACTGATCATTGGCCCCCACGAGTGGTGCTGGATGCTGTTTATGGGCAGAGAAAGGCACAAGAGTCATCCTGTGTTTGTATGTACGCTCAAAATGAAGTCAAAGGTTGCTTGCAAAATGACATACTCAGGATACAGGCCAGCCTGGAAGCCAGTTTCCACATAATTTGTGAACTTAGCCTAGAACAGGCACAGTGTGATAGCAACGGCTTTTGGTACAAAAGAAGGGGAGGTGGCTCATCAGTTAAGAGCGCTGGCTGCCCTTCCAGAGGACCTGCATTTGACTCCCAGCACCCACATGTTGGCTTACTGTTCCAGGAGATTTGACACCTTTTGTTTTCTGTGGGTACTAGGCATGCAAGTGGTGCTCAGACAAACAAATAGGCAAAACATCCATACACATAAATTTTTTTTTAAAAAAATTGGAAATAAATATAAACATATTGTCTGAATTTTCTCACTCAACAATAAATTCTGAACATGTTTCCACGTTGATAAACACTAATAAACATATTTCCATGCTGATAAACATATCACCCTTAGAACATAATTTTTTTTTTTTTTTTTTGGTTTTTCGAGACAGGGTTTCTCTGTGGCTTTGGAGCCTGTCCTGGCACTAGCTCTGTAGACCAGGCTGGTCTCGAACTCACAGAAATCCGCCTGCCTCTGCCTCCCGAGTGCTGGGATTAAAGGCGTGTGCCACCATCGCCCGGCAGAACATAATTTTTTATTGGCTAGAGTATATCCTCACACAGACATAACACAGGCTTTAGGTCTGTCTATCCCTTCTGGTGGGCATGTAATTTGTTTCTATTTTTCCTTTATGGTCAACTTTTTATCAGCACACTTAATTATTTCTTAGAATAAACTCCTAGAAGGAGAATTGCTGGCTCGAAGGGGTGGGATTTTGTTTGTTTTTGTTGTTCTTAGATTATTTCCCTCTGTAACTCAGGCTGGTTTGAAATTCACAGGCAGCTCAGGCTGACGTTGAACTCACAGCAATCCTCCTGGCTTAGCCTCCCAGCGCTGTAATTACGAGGGTCCTTTTCTAAGTCAGTGTTCAGAGGTTGTGTATATCAGGCCCCCACCCTCTTAGAAGCACGGTGAAAGGGCATTCGGTGTGTTGCAGTCCTAGGTTATATGAGAACTTTTCTTACCTTTCCCCTTTGTTTAGATTAATTTCTGTATGTGTGTGGCTGTCTAGCGAGTGCATGCATGGAGCCACAGAGGCTAGAAGAGAATGCTGGATCCCCTGCCACTGGAATTACAGGTGGTTGTGAGTCGCCGCGTGGGTACCGAGCACGGAACTGGGGTCCTCCACAAGAGCAGTGCTCACTCCTAACCAAGGAGTTGTCTCTCCAGCTCTGCCCCTCCACCTTGTTTTGTTTGTTTTTGAATACGTGAATTTTCACCTTTCTCTCAATCTTCATACAGGAAACTCAGAAGAAGAGACCTACAGTGGATACGGCTAGCCTAGGGTCATTTTAAATTTGCAAAGGCAGTGACTGTAGGTAGCCACTTCTCCCCCCCACTTCTCTGCGCCTCTCTTTTCTGAGTCTCATGTAGCTCCAGCTGGCCTCCAGTTCCCTTCATGGCTGGCCTCGAGTTCCTCATTTTCTTCTTTTTACCTCCTAAAATTACCTCCCAAGTGCCAGCCGGCAAAGGCTTCTCACATTTGATTCCGTGATGATACCTGATCCCCTGCCATGGACCCTCAGACAGCCCAGGTTGTCAAAGGCTGTAGAAGAGATTTAGCCCAAGTGTGTGTGCACACCCTTTCCTCTGAAAGTGTCCTGGCAGCTCTAAGCATAGTACAATTCAGAGTTTAGATGGCTGTAAGGCACAGCGTCCGCTCTACGCTGTACGGTTCTACGCCTGAGGTGAGGTGCCATTACAGGTGGGTACGCAAGCTGGGAACTAGGCCTGGAGACTTAAAAACACACACACACACACACACACACAGAGAGAGAGAGAGAGAGAGAGAGAGAGAGAGAGAGAGAGAGAGAGAGAGAGACACTAACGCGGGTCATCCTTGATACAAGAATGCCAACTTTATTGGTGCTCAGGGGCAGCTTATATAGTGCTCTGGCCAGGCCCCAGCTTTCGGGATCTTTCAGCTGCAGGCCTCATCAGAGCCCCTGCCGCCATCAGGGTCTCCTGCTCAGAGCAGCTGCAGTCCCCAACAGCTCCCAACAGATGGGTGATCTGAGAGACATGGAGGGAGCTGAAGAAACAATCAGAAATGCGGGAAGACTTGGGGGATGGCAACCTTGGGTCACAACACGCAGAATATCTGTATTTCCTCCTGGCAATATTTAAGCTGATTTGGTTACTTTTGTGGGAAGTCTAAATGGCAGGAAGTTTTGAGTGATGGGCCAGTAAGGTTAATCCCCATACCATAACAGCCTGAGCAGGGCAATAGGAGGACCAAAGAGAGGACAAGCCTATGATTCAAGGGTGGGAGTGAATGCCTAGACTAGCACCTCAGAGGTTGAGGCAGGAGACTCACACAGTGGAAACAGGTAGACTACATATCCAGGCATTGTCCCCAAAACAAAACAAAACAAAAACTGTCTAGTTCTCTGAGCAGTGGTGCACACCTTTAATCCTAGCACTCGGAAGGAAGGAAGAGGCAGGTGGATCTTCCATGAGTTCCAGGACAGCTAGGGCTACACAGAGAAACCCTGTCTCGAAAACAAACAAATAACAAAAACAAAACAAAAAATCCAAACAAGAACAACAAAACAAAAAGAAAAAAAACACGGAAAACTGTCCAGCTATGGGTTGCTTTTGTTTCCTTTTCTCTCCCTTCCTCTTTCCCTCTGGCAGGGTAAAGAGAGCAGAGCTGGGAAGGCGACACATTCTCAAGGCCCCAAATGCTCACCAGATCTTTACTTCTTCCTCAATTCTAAACTCACCCAGCTCTGCTTCTAAATTTGTTCAACCTGTCCAGCAGGGCAGTTGTTATCCTGCGTTCTAAAGGAAAGGGTGGGGAAGAACGGGAGGGGCGAGGCTACAGGTCCACCAGTGCCCAAGGAGACGACAGTGTCAGAGAATCAGCTACTCTGAGTGGGGTGGAAGGGAGGTTGGCGGTAGAGGGTGGTAACAGGGGTTGTTTAGGAGGCTTTCCTGGGGCGCCCAAATTGCTAGTTCCTTTTGTAGCTGTCCCTAATATAGCAGCCTGCTGCTGCCCCCTCTCATCCCCTGTGGCTGCCACCACCTTCAGCAAGGCTGGTGCCGCATCCCAACAGTGGGCATGGATTGCAGTGCAGGCCAGAACTGGCCAAAGGCATCTGGTGATGCCACCCTGATCTGCTAACATCACAGCTTAGAATCCATTTTAAAAGAAATAAGGTTTTATTTATTTATTTATTTTTATTGATCTCTACATTTTTCTCTGCTCCCCTCCCTGCCTTTCCTCTCCTGCCTTCAACCCTCCCCCAAGGTCCCCAAGCTCCCAATTTACTCAGGAGATCTTGTCTTTCTCTACTTTCTACTTCCCATGTAGAGTAGATTAGATCTATGTAAGTCTCTCTTAGTGTCCTCATTATTGTCTAAGTTCTCTTAGTCTAAGTGCCCAAAGTTATTTCTGAAAGAAGGCTCAAGCAGAATTTTATTAGCACTTAAGAGAAAAATGAGGCAGCAGGCATGCGGTAAGTCTTGGCAGCTGCCTGGAGGAGGGAAGAGAGAAAGCCATGGCCTTTGATAAGCATCCACAAGACGGAAAAGAAATGCAGGCGGCAGTGAGACAGAGCAGGGGTCTTGACCGGATTCCTTTTCCCTGTCAGTTAAAGAACTAAAAGGCGGGAAAAAAAATCTCCAGCGTGACAGGTGGCAGTGGAGAAATCGCAAATGCTGCAGGCAGCAACAGACAGAATCAATGGTTGAAAGGTGTTCCTTGGGGTGAGGAAACACACAGGCGTCAGATATGCTGAGGAAAAGCCCCGCTGCTAAGTAGAGGAGGACTAATCTCTTCTCAAGGACTGGGGATTTTAAAGACTTTTCTTCCCCTAATTTAGGGGCTGGTCAGTTTGAAGAAATATACTATGGTTGGTTGTTATGTGTCCTGACAATAGGGGCCTGCTTTAGCCAGAGAAAAAGCCCACATGGCCTTTTCTTTAAGCTGCTGGGAATTTGTCTTGAATCAGAAGGGTGAGGAAGAACCTAGCCATCTTAGAAATTTGCCACCTTTATTACCTAGCCATGGCTCCTTTCCATCCATTTCTGTCTGCCTACCAGGGAGTCTGTCTACCTCCTAGTCTCTCCACACCCTTGGTGGAAAGGAATGAGACAGATAATGGTATCTAGGAAAGTGTGCACAAACTTTGGTTAGTATCCAACAAGAAAGCAGGCAAAGAAATTAAAGAGGAAGTTACACTTTTCTGGGCAGGCCACAGTGCTACAAGATGGGAGGTCTGCAAACATTTGGCCCGAGGCAGGGAACTCAGAGAAGGACAGGTACATTATCCCTCTTCTCCTTAGCCCGTCTTCAGGTGATTGCTGTGGCTGGGAGCTGGACTCCTGGCCAGGTGATTGATTGGTAGGCCCAGCTGGATTAACTATTAAAAGGAGGACAGCAGCCGGGCAGTGGTGGCAGAGGTAGGCGGAGCTCTGTGAGTTCGAGGCCAGTCTGGTCTATAGAGCTAGCTAGTTCCAGGACAGCAAGGGCTGTTGCACAGAGAAACCCTGTTTCGAAAAACAAACAAAACAAAAGGAGGACAACAGTATGTGTTTTTATGGTCAGCAGAGAATGTCAGGCTTCCACGCAAGACTGGAAGTAGAACTTGGATTGTCTTCTTTTGATGGTGAAGTAGCAGCTTTGTCTTAATGGGCCTGAACAAGTCCCAGATACTCACACCTTCTCTCTCTCTCTCTTTTTTTAAAGATTTATTTATTATGTATACAGTGTTCTATATGCCTGCAGGCCAGAAGAGGACACCAGATCTCATCTTGGATGGTTATGAACCACCCTGTGGTTGCTGGGAATTGAACTCAGGACCTTTGGAAGAGCAGCCAGTGCTCTTAACCTCTGAGCCATCTCTCCAGCCCCTCCCACCTTCTCATATGGTAATTTAAATCCTAAGGAATGGCAAAGCTGCTATTTGCCTTTTTAGGAAGAGGGAGGTAGGGTCTAAAGCCTTCGAAGTCTTCATTGGTCCTGAGAAGACTATAATAGTCTGACAGTGAGATGCCTCCGCTACCTTCCATCTCTGGGCCACAGTTCTGAAAGGGAATGAGATGGATGTGCTGTGCCAGGATTTCAGGGGTGGACACGAACAAGAGTTTATCGATTCCAGATAGGGCATCAGTGGTAGACAGTGGTACGATTCCACTATAGTCCATGCTAGTGAACCAACAATTTGACTGGGCTCACCTAGGTCAGACCACGTCCTGCGGAGTGGCAAAGCTCGCACCTTGGACAGCTCTAAAAGTCAGGAACCCTGTCTTCCTATCCATGTAGTCATCTTTCCTAGGGCAGCTCCTCTCGGGTTTGAGAGGAAGGCTTCCTCTCCCTTCATGGCCCTCTGATGCTGCTCTGGTATGTTACTATATCTCTCTAAATGCTCCCCCACTTCAAGGCTCTACCATGCCTCCCATTCATGGCCGTGGGACTCTTTCCTAAGAAAGCCTGTTCTGAAGGATCCTTTCTTGAACCTGCCTCTCTAATTTACATTTCCTTCTAACACTCACTGGAGCCCACGCAGTAACTAAAAGTATAATAGAAGCCCGACTTCTGTGTCTTCATTTTGTACTCAGGTCCTTCACTTTGTATCCATCACCTGCTTAACTCTGCACTCCCTACAAAGGAGTGCTAACCATTATCCCCTGCTTCCATCCCCGGTGGCAGGGTTCCCCTCCTAGGAATTGCTAGAGTATTGCAAGTGTATATGAAGTACACTTGACATGACCAGAAGGAATTAGGTTTAGTTCCCAGCATCCTCAGCAGGTAGCTCACTACTCCACTTCCAAGGGATCTGATGCCCTCTGGCCTCCGCGGGACCTGTGTGCACAAACTCACTCAGGCAGATACGCATAAATTTAAAAACGGAAATCGAGAGAGAGAGAGAGAGAGAGAGAGAGAGAGAGGAAAGAAATTAAACTTTTCCCAGGAATGTCCTGGGAGGAGAAAAGACTGAAGTCTTGTGAGCCGCCATAGGAGGAGCTTGTGTCCTGGAGAAAGCTTTGTACATTTTTAGACAACTCTGAAAGAGGTTGACCTTGCAGAGACCAGAGCATCAGCAATGCTGGGAGACCCGTGGTGGTTTGAATGAGAATGAGATCCCAGCTGGCAGAGGATAAAGAGGGATGGTCTTGTTGGAGGAGGTATATCTCTGTGAGTTTGAGGCCAGTCTGGTCTACATAGTAAGTTCCAGGACAGCTAAGGCTGTGTACAAATATCCTGTCAAAAAAAAGAAAAAAGAAAAAAAAAAAGCCCACACCAGGCTCAGTCTCCCTCTCTGCTTTCTGCCAATGGATTGTGATGTAAGCCCTCAACTTCTGGTCCCACACCATGCCTGCCTGCCTGCTGCCATGCTCCCAGCCATGATGACCATGTACTAACCTTCTGAAACTGTAAGCAAGCCCCACATTTAATACTTCCTCTTATAAGTTGCCTTGGTCATGGTGCCTCTACACCAAAGAAACACTAAGACAGGAACACACCTAAGCCAGAATTCCTGGGCATATTTTTTTCTTGCTTTGTTTTAAACCTCACCTCAATAGATGTTTGTTCTTTTCTCTTCAAACATAGTTAATGCAACACACAGGCACCTGCTCTTGGGATACAACAGAACAAAGGAGGAGTTTGGGTGGAGTAATTGCATGGGCCCTGCTTTGGATAGCAAGGCATATAACTAAGGCTGAACCATCTGAGAGTAGAGGATCTATAGGGACATTCCTGACATAGTCATCCCTACCCATGTGATGGCATAGAGACACCTGTACCCAGTTGAGCATGCACTGCAGTCCCTGGCAGTTGGACGTGAGTCAAGATTGTGTAGCCTTGGCTACGCATAATTAGACAGACAGCTGCCACCAAGATGGCTGCTGAGCAGAAACTAACTTGTGTATGGGAAGAAAAGAGACCTGTGGGTAGCACCCCTTGTATTAGCCGCTGGTTTGGCATGAAAATTGGATGAAAAGGGAGGAGACAGAGATCCTGGCTTGCTGCTTCTTCTGGCTAGAAGGGAAAATGGAACAAGAATGCAGCTTAGATCTATGTTCTAGAGCCCTTTCTGGGATTCAAACACTTGGACCCTATGAAAAGAGTCAGAGAGCAAAGAGAGAAAGTGAGGTTGAACTGATAGATGAGACCTGTATGCTGGAGGGAGGGAAAATCGTGACTCGACATGCTCATGGGGATTTAATAATGTCCCGGTGTAGGGAACCGTCACTGTCTGGGAACATTCTGCCTTTGAAATGCTTCAGCTAGAAAGGACTTTTAAGCAAGAAATGAAGAAGTCTCTCATGGCCTGGCTTGTGAGGCTGTGGGTTATGGGGGCAGAGAATCTGAGCAGTAGAACGACCACTCCTTCATTGAGGCAAAGTTTGTATAGTCTGAGACATTGTGAGGGAAGTCAGTCTCTGATGGATTGGTTCATCATTAGAGGCAGTAGATTGCCAGGTTCTCTGGCAGAAAGAGCAGGGACAGAGCTGACTCTCCCTGGGGCTAAACAGAATGGTAAGTGTTGTGACCCAGCCCTCCCCACTGGGCATGGGGAGAAGCACACCCACTGAGTTGGGAGTCTGTCAAAGCAGGAACTCGTTTAATGGTATCAAGCAAGGACTTATATAGGGTTGTGATAGGAGTGGAGAAGCTTAGAATGGGTTGAGGTGGGGTAAGGAACAAGGGCCAATAATATTCTGCCACACTAGAGGTGGCTGGGCAGAGGCAGGCCTAAGTCGGGTAGCCAGAGACAGGTCTCCAAACTTGAGTTAGGCTCAGGAAGTTACACTAGGCCTCACCAAACTCAAGTTAGGCTTAGGAAGTTACACTGGGCCTCATGCCCAGGCCTCATGAGGCCCAACAGTAGATTACCAGTTGCTGATAGCTCCATGAATATCAGGGGCTGAAAGACATCAGAAGAAGAACAGATATTACTGTCTTAACTAACATTCTATTGCTGCGAAGAGACACCATGACTACAGCAACTCTCATAAAGGAAAACATTTAACTAGCTTGCAGTTCAAAAGTTTAGTTCATTATCAAAACATGGCTGAACATAGGAAGACATGGTGCTGGAGAGGTAGCTGAGAATTCTACATAAGGATCAGCAGCAGCAGGAAGAGGGAGAGAGAGAGACTGGGCCTGGTTGAACATTTGAAACCCAAAGCTCATTCCCAGTGACAAACTTCTCCAAGAAGACAACACCTCCTAATCCTTCTCAAGTAGTGCCACTCCTTATTGAACAGCATTCAAATGAGCCTATGGTGGGCATTTTTATTCAAACCACCACAGTGTGAGACAGATTGTCTTTTTTTTTCTCTATTTTTCAGACAGGTTTTCTCTATGTAGCTTTGGCTGTTCTGGAACTCACTCTGTAGACCAAGTTGTCTTTGAACTCAGAGATCTTCCTGCATTCTCCTCCTGAGTGCTCGGATTAAAGCACCACCATCCCGCAAGACAGGCTATCTTTGATGCTCAGTTTGCTGGGCCAGATAGAACAGTGTTCTCCAGAAGTGAATTCGTCAGGGACCTTGAGACTTGGGGTCTCTAAGGGGTTCTAATGGCTTTGCTGAGCTCCTTGGTGGAAACAATATTTATGAGGTAGGAGAGGCTCTAGAAGACCTGATCCATTTAGGCCAGTATGCAAATCAAGCCTACGAAGTGGTAAAGCAGGATGGAGGAGGGAAGGGCAAAGCAGAGAAAAGGGGTCTTGTCTGGATCATTCAAGAGCAAATCTGCTGAAATTTATGTTGAGCTGGAGTTCTTAATGAGGAGATTGACAGAAAGTCAAATTCTGTGCTAGTGAGGTTCTGGAAGGATTCAAAGCCTGAAGCCCAGTTGTTAGAAGATATAGATAATAAAACGAGTTAGATGAAAAAGAGTGAGCTTGACCAAAGGGTTGACAGATACCCCTCACAGAGAAGCTATGGACCTTTCATTGTTGTAATAAGTATACTGGGGAGCTGGAGAGATAGCTTTGTGGTTAAGAGCACTGGCTGCTCTTCCAGAGGACCTGGATTAAATTCTCATTACCTATAGGGCAGTTAACAAGCATCTGAAACTACAGTCCCAGGGGAGCCAATGCTCTCTTCTGGCATCTAGAGGCGTATGGTGCACAGTCCTGCAGGTATAAAAACCCTCCATATGCACAAAATAATAAAAATAGTTATTTTAAACCAGACAGTAGTGGCTGGCACACACCTTTAATTCCAGCACTCAAGACAGAGGCGGGCAGATCTCTGAGTTCGAGGCCAGCCTGGTCTACAGGGTGAGTTCCCGGACAGCTAAGGCTCCACAGAGAAACCCCATCTTGAAAAACAAAACTAGTTCTTTTAAAAAGTACACTGGGAGTAGAAACTGCTAAACTGGGTCAGGACTCTCTCAGCAACCAAGTAACCAGGTATAGCTGATGGAAGATCAGCATCAACAGCTACAGCCTCAGGACCAGTCCTGACTCAGTCGCTAGGGAGCCACCTGGAACCATGGGCAAAGCAGGGAGCATCTCACTTTCCTTGGCCCTGGGCCAGGCAGAGCACTTGAAAAGGCTCCACTGAGCCTACTGTGGGTGGGAAGGTATATTACAGCTTCATGGCGGTGTCCCAGAATAAGAGACCAGGAGAAGTTATGGAACACGATTGTAAATTATAGAAAAGTAGATAAAAGAATGCCTTCACTGCTTACCATTGCCTTCAACATAGCTATTTTGAGGAAACGCTTGACAAAGCGATGGGATCTTTTCATTCTTTACCAGACCTAGTTAATGTTTTGTTTTGTTTGTTTTGTTTTTTGTTTTTCTTTAGTAGTCCTTTGGCTGCTGATTCCCCCAGGTCAACTGATATTTGCTTGGAGTGGATGAGGGTGGGCTTTCAGAGATCCCACTCTTCTCCATGACAGAGCTCCAAAGAAGGCAGGCATTCTGCGTAGGAGGGAAAGGTACCTCCAAAGACAGTTCAGGTAAGGATGATCCCCGTGCAGGGAGGGGGCTACCTCCTTAGGACCTTTTAGTTAGCAAGGCCAAAATGATAAAAGTCAGTCAGGCGGTGGTGGTGCACACCTTTAATCCCAGCACTCAAGAGGCAGAGGCAGGCAGATCTCTGTGAGTTTGTCTACGTAGTGAGTTCCAGGACAGCTAGGGCTACACAGAGAAATCTCGTCTCAAAAAAAAAAAAAAAAAAAAAAAAAAAAAAAAAATGCAAAAAAAAAAAAAAAAAAAAAAAAAAAAAAAAAAAAAGGAAAAAAAGAAAAATGACTACACATTGGTATGCATGTGAACGGTACCATCTGTCTGGTACCACCAGTGTGGCACAGACTGACGAATGACTTATTCCTGGGAGCAGAAAGGGCGCCACCTATAAACTTATTGTGGTAAATTAGTAGTGTAAGATCACATGGGCACACTAAAATCACATCAGGAAGAACAGACCCAATAACTGTCCTCTGACTGTGTGTGTGTGTGTCTGTGTATGTGTGTGCGCGCACACACGCATATATGAAGGAGCTTGTAGACAGAGAACTCCTAGCTCTGTGCAGTATCTACTCTTGAGCTGACTTACTTAAATTGCCATTTGCCCATTTTCCTACTTGTACATCTGAACTGACATCCTGCCCAGGCACGGTCCTACCCTGTGGCCCCCATGGCACCTCCCTCTTTCCAGCTGTTTGACTCTGACCTACAGTTTAACCCTACAATGAGGGCAGCAACTGCAGCCTTCAGTTGACCTATCTTATCTCCAGAGATTAGCTATTTGCACCTTTTACAGCTTCCCTGCCTCCGAAAGCTCTTGAATTCTGCTGTGGTACACACACATGCACACACCCACGTGCCTGCATTTAATGTGCAGTCTGAGAATTAACATTAGTAACTAAGACTAGGATAAAAGAACTTGTGCTTTCCTTGGCAAAGGGCTCCCAAGGAAAGCAAGACCACTTGGCGATTGGCTGCCAATGAAACCACAGCACCTTGCGGATTTATTATGATTCAATAAACACTGATATTGTGGAAAGACACGGGTGTGTTTGTTTATGACTCCGAGAACATGGTTTTGGAGTTTGAAGCCAGAGGAAGTCCTGGAAAGGCATCAAACCAAGGCTAGTCTCTGTCGGGGGGGAGCCCAGGACTTGGCTCTGCACTTGGGCTTCAGCAAACAGATGCCACGGATCACAGCACAGTCAATGAAATCCAGCGTGAGTGCTCCCCAGGGAGCACGGAGCTGCCTGGGAGCCCTGGGGATCAATTTCTTCCAGCCTGAACATGTTAGGCAAAGCAACAACGCTTTAATTTCCTCATGTTTTTCACAACAAGAAATAACCCCAAGTCAATCAGTATCTATTTCCATTTAACCTAATATCACCCCTAGACGTAGCATCAAAGGAGATGCTGCCAAGCAAGATACACTTGGCACTGATTAGCAGATAAGCCATTCTAATCATTTCAAAACAAGCTCCGTCTATTGTTTTGATTTTCCTTTGCTCATCCAGCAACATCTGAAAAGGGGAATAGTTAATAATTGTAGAGTCTCTCTCATTCGCTGGACCTCCATTCATTGGAGATCCCTGGAGGACAGACTTAGGGCTTCTTCCAATTTTTCATTCTCTAAAATATAAACAGGGGAAAATGAGAAACATGGTGGGTACACGGGAAGGTAAAGGGAGCCCTTTAGCTTGGAATCCAAGTGACTAACCACCACATATTCCAGCCCAGTTAGCATTTGCTAAGAGTTAGGGGTGCTGACATAGTGGCAATATTTTTTTATATAAACAGATATTAAAAACATTAAAATATCAATACCTAATGTTTAAGGCCTAAGTGTGTATGGCCCTTTTTCTTCCTCTGATGTAAATCTACAATTTTCTAGAAATCAGAAACCCTATTTACAGTAGTGGTATTTGAGTGTGTATGTGTGTGTATGTGCACACGCACGTGTGTGTGTGTTTATGAGTATGGGGGTGAGTGTATCTGTGTGTCTGTGTGCATGTGTGCAAGCACATGCATGTGCATGGGCTATAGCTCACACATAAAGAGATCACAGGACAGCCTTAAGTGTCAGCCCTCAGTGTCCATGTTTTCTAAGCCGGGATCTCTTGTTGTTCACACTGTATCTGAGAGGCTAGCTGACCCAAGAGCTTCTGACCAGTCCTCTGCTCCCATTGTGTGGTTGAGTGTGGCTGCTGCATCTGATTTTACCTGGGTACTGGGGATCTGAACACTGATCCTCACACTTGTGGGGCAAGCCATCCCTCCAGCCCCAAAGAAGACATGTCTTGACGCACTGTGCTACACGTGTGTGTGTGTGTATGTATGTATGTGTATCTAAAAAACAATCTCGTAGCATTTATTATCACCTATAATATATATAAGGGTCAACAAAAGAATATGAAAAATGTTTCAGAATGATAGTCCCAGAATAAGATACTCTTTAAAAGCATACTCTATATGGTCTTCTCAACTTCTCTCTTCCTTGACCAATTTCTTGCTGGAAATGCTTTGTGACAGAGTGTCATTTTCTCCTCTTAGCGTGATCCAACCCAGTTGTTTTCTTTTTCTTTTCTTTTTGGTTAGTTTTTAAGACAGGGTCACCTGTCTCAATAGATAGCCCTGGCTGGTCTCTACATGTGAGTACATGGCATGGTGTGCGTGTGGAGATCAGAGGACATTCGCAGGGCTCAGTCCTCTCTCCATCATATGGGTCTTGGTGATTAATCTCAGGTCATTAGGCTTGGTGGCAAGAGCCTTTGCCTGCTGAGCCATCTTGCTGGCCAACGTCTTTATTTTCTTGTCTGAGAAGCCCCTAGTGCTTGGCAAGCAATGCACAGGCACTCGATACAAATGTACAAAACGGGGGGAATGAAAGGCTCTTAGGGATCGTCCAGTGCGGATGTGTGCTTCACACCTGAGGATACCGAGTCTGGAGAGGACAACTGTCTAAAGGAGGCCACTGTTGAAATAGGAAGCGGCGGGGCTGCGTCCCCAACACCCCGGCCGCTTGGCTAGCTTATGCCCGAAATAACAACACACAAACTGTATTCATTTAAGAACTGCTTGGCCCATGAACTCTAGCCCTTACAGGCTAATTCTCGCACCTGGACTAGCCCATTTCTAATGATGTGTGTAAGCACCCCAAGGTGCGCTTACCGGGAAGAGTCTAGCCTCCGTCCATCCTGGAGTCTCTGCTCCAGAGAGCAGAGCCGTGGGTCTCTCCGGGAGCAGAGCAGAGTCTGACCTCACTTCCTCTTCCGCCCAGCATCCTATTCTGTTTATTCCGCCCACCTATCTTTTAACCTATCAGGGCCAGCAGTTTCTTTATTGCTCAGCCAATGAAATCAACAGATTGATATGACACTCCCACATCAGGCCACCTCAAAGATTAATAGCCATGGTGGGATGAGTGCCAACCACCGTTGAGTTCCAGCCAGTTCTAGAACACTGAGATCCAGGGTGATGAGTATGTCTTGAATCCAGCAGTCCTTAGCTTGTATTAATGCACGTGTGATTCAACACCAAACCCTGGTGCTTGTATTTGATTCTAGGTTGTCATTTTTTAAAATTCTGACAATGTTATTAAATTAGTATCATGAATCGATAAACTGAAACCCATAGTTTGGAAATAATACATTATACCATAGATTGAAAAATAAAGCTCTCTATATTTATTGGTTTGTTTGTTTCTTTCTTTACAAATTTCATGTGGCCTAGCTGGCCTTGAACTTGCTAGATAGCCAGGGCTGGCCTTGAACTCCTCGATTATCCTATTAATAGCTAGTAAGTTATTACAGGCTTTGCCACCATGTTCAGCTTTCTCTCATCCCCCTTTTCAAAAAAAAGTACTAAAAAGAACAGCCACTGCACATGTGTTTAAGCACCTTTCAAAGTGCCAGAGTAAAGCAATCTATTGAGAACAATTTTATATGGAGCTCAAGTGTGCAGCTAAATAAAAGACTAGCTAAGGTCTGATATCTGGGCCCTCGACACTCATGTTTATTAATCTTGAAATGTCATTTCATTTCTGATCCAGTCTCTCCCCTGTTTGCAGTTCTGAATTTCATGCTCTGCCGTGTCATATTCATTTTCTGGGATTTGTGTCTTGTTTTCTGCACCAGCTCATGCTTCTCAATTGCTGCTTTGTGCCTGCAGCCAGAGCAGGGCATTCCAGAAGGAGGCAGGAGGAATGGCGCGGGTTTTCACATAACTGACTTTGTTTTGACAGTGATGGTATCTGGCAGAGTGGGAACTGATTACGGTGCCATTGTGCACACCAACTATTCATAGCCAGTGGGGGAGGGGGACACACACGAACGTGAGTTGAAGGGCGGAGGAGCTGGTCAAACCAAGGACAGAGAATATGTGGTTATGTAAGGATGGAGTTTGAAGGTCATGCTAAAAATCAAGTATTTAAAATATTGGCCGAGGCACAACAACTCTGTGGTCTAATTTTATCCCATTCTTTCAACTCTTCCAGGACAGAGAGAAGCTAGAGTTACCACTCAGGGCAGGAAGCAGGCCAGGCTCCAAATCTGTGCGTGCAAGATGCAGAGAAGTTGACCTTTTCCCTTCAGATGCCACCGAGGTACCAAATATTGTCATAGTTGCAGAAATCTAAGATGACACCACCATCTTTATCACGGTGGAAATCGACCCGATTGGGACTTTCACTGGGGGCTCACACAATTAGGTCCAAGCCATTCACACTCCCTGTCACACAGATGGGGAGAGAGACGCACCGGACGCAGGCTCATGTGCTGCTTTTTGCAGGGTGTCCTCGTCCATTTCCTCTCCTGCGTCTTCTGTGCTTCCCATCATGCACCACCAGGCTCCCTGCTCCCCTGATTCTTGTGGGGTTCAGATAATGGGAGGAAAGAGATTGAAGGTTGCCATGTTTTTTCTCCCCGAGCTCCCCTCTCCACACACCCGTTTGCTGACCTTACATTCTCTGTGGCGCTGACTTATGTAGGGAGACCCTTCTCCGGTGACTCCTCTTCTCTGAGGTTCCCATCACACCTCTTCCCCAGTCGATTCCTGGGTCAGGACCCACATCTTTGCAAACAGTCTCTTCCTCTGGCTTTGGCCTTCTAGCTCCCAGACACTTGTGAGTCTGTATCCGGGATAGTAAATCTTTGTTGTTAAGGTGACCGGAAGTAGAATTAGGAGATTGAGGTACTAGAGAGGGTGTATCTAGGAAGGACTAACTGACAGGGAAAGGCTCTCCTTGACTGTGCACAGACCATCTTATAGGCTGGTGACCCAGAAAGAATAAAAAAGGAAAAAGGAAAAATTCAGCTGAGTCACAGCGCCCTATTTTCTGCTTCCTGGCTCTCTGTAACATGAGCTACTCCATTTGACCTCACCTTCCCTTCCAGGAAAGAGTTGAATCCTCTAAAACTGTAAGGCAAAATAGATTCCTTCATCTGTTGTAGCTATTATTTGAACCGGGTCTCATGTAGATTAGCCTAGCCTCGAATTCACCCTGTAGCCAAAGGTGATCTGCAGTTGCATGAGAGAGTCACAGGTCTTTTAGAGGCCACTGGTACAACAATATGGTTTGGATATGAAGTGAGACTTTGGTTATTAACTGCTGACTCTATTTGGGGAGGTGCTGGAAGTTGATGGAGTACCCTGAGGAAGTAGGCCAGTGAGGTAGGTTGTTGGGAATATATTATCCATATCCACACCCTGTCACAGTGTTTTCTTCTGCCGTGATATGAGTGACTGTCCTCTACCACACCCCCTGCCCGTGATGCTCTACCCGGGTGTGAGGGAGCCAATAACACTCCCCCAACAACACTCAGGTGGTTTTTAAAATGTGTTTTACATCTCAGTTTTATGACAAAATGACAGAATAGGAGCCAATTATTCTGCCATTTTCTACGTCTTTGAGTCGCACGTGAAATCAAGAATTAATCCCTGCACACTTATACAATCTGCCTGTGAGATTCAGAATGATTTCCCCAGGTCTGTGGTCATCGATGGTTTCAGATCTCCAGTGGAACCAGGTTTCATCACCAGTTGGGAACTGAAGGGAGACTTTGGAGCACCGTTGATGAGGATATGGCATTTGCCTTTCTCTGCGTTGTCGATGCTCTCGAGATCACCTGCCAAGGACATTCATGTGCCCCATGGTGACGGCAAGGAAGGATGGAGGAAAGCCCTCATCCTCTCAAGCTGAGCCAAAGTCAGTCTTCCCTCCTGCCCATTGTTTCTGTCAGACACTTGGGCAGAATGATACAAAAACAATTAACCTAGCACCTGCTGCCCACTGGGGTCCTGACTGATGAAACTCGGTCTTGGTTCTAGAGCATGCAGACCTTGCTCACACCCGGATCTCTCAGTGATCTGCTAGGAAATCTAACCCTGCAGGGTGTCTTAGTTAGGATCTCTAATGCTGCGAAAAGATACCAGACCACAACAAATTTCATAAGGAAAATATTTCACTCAGGGGGCTCCCTTACAGTTTTAGAGGTTCAGTCCATCAGCACCATGACAGGGAGTATAGTACGATTAATCAAAAACCAGAGATAGAAACTGGGGTTCAATCTGAAGGTCAGAAAAGCAAAGCAGTCAGCCACTGGCTCTTACCTCTACCTCAGTCTGAAATGGCGATCCTGCCTCCAGGAATCTCAGAATGAGACTGTCTGTGAGAGCTGTCTTCTTCCATCTTACATTCCTCTCCAGTGCTGGGATTAAAGGTGTGCACCACTACTGCCTGGTTTCTATGGCAAAATAGCGTGGCTACTGGGATTAAAGGTGTGTATCATCTTTGCCTGGTTTCTAAGGCTGATCAGTGTAGCTGTTTTACTCTCTGAACTTCAGGCAAGCTTTATTTATTAAAATACAAATGAAATATCACTACAGGAGAGCTTAGCGGCATGCAGGCAGATGTGGTGCTGGAACAGCTGAGAGCCCTACCTCTTGCAGTTAGCAGGAAGTCAACTGACTGTCACACTGAGTGAAGCTTGAGAAGAGACCTCAAAGCCCGCCCCCACAGTGACACACTTCCTCCAACAAGACCACACCTACTTTAACAAGGCCACGCCTCCTAATTGTGTCACTCCCTGAGATTATGGGGGCCAATTACACTTAAACTACCATACAGTGCCTAAGTCTTCACCTGTCTTCCATTCAGGGTCTGCTTTGTCAAGGTATTAGCTGAGGAAAGCCTACAGCTGCTGGGAAGGAGTCTCTGGGTTTGCAACTGCAATTTTAGACCAGATTAGCTAGGAAAGCTCACATGAGTAACTTCAAAAGAATTTTGTTATTGCTATTGCTGCTGTTGCTGTTGCTGTTGCTGCTGCTGCTGTTTTGAGACAGGTTGTTTAAAGATACTCTGTAACCCAGGCTGGCCTGGAACTCACTGTGTAGTCCAGACTGACTTCAGACTTGCAACAATCCTCCCACCACACTCTCCCAAACGCTAGGATAACTTGCAGGCGTGAGTCACCAAGTCAGCCCAACCAGATTTGCTAGGCCTTGCTGTTTTCTCAGGGGTTGGAGGCAGAATTGGGAAGGTTTGAGTTTGTCTTGAAGGAGGAATGATTCTCTGGCCTTATGGGGACACCAAAGGTCATGCAGACCAGTCCACTGCTTTGCACCGGAGGAGGGGATGGAAGTCAGCAGGTCAAGTCAGGGTAGAGCCGTGGGAATCTAAAGCTGAAAGTTCATCATCAAAGTTCCATGTTGGAGGAGCATTAGATGCTACACAATAGAACCACCATGAGCAACAAAGGACCACGGAGGACTCAACTTTGGGTGACAAGCCACCGTGGGCCCTGGCGCCCTTTGCACTATAATCCAGGACTGTGCAGACAGCGTAGCATCATGTGAGCAGAAATGAGGCAGCACCAAGGAAAGCTACCTTCTGCTCACCCTGCCAAGAGCTCTCCCCCTGCCCCCAGCATGTACCCAAGGTCTCAGCTGCATCCATTTGAACCCCATGGCAGAGGCGTACCTCTCTGCAAGGGCCCTGGAACTCATCTGCATCTATAAGAAGCGAGCATATGTTATGGGCCACTCCATCAGGAGGGTAAAGTAAGAGTTGTGCTTCCTCTCCTCCCCCTCAGGCTGGAAACAAAGCATTCTGCAATGATGAAGCTCGAAGGATATCCACACAGAAACGCTACCTCTATCCACATCTTCCCTTTAAAGAATCCAAATAAATAAGTCTGAGAGAAGATTTCCATTGCTGCGATAAACATCGTAATCAATAACACTTGGGGGGGGGAAGGTTTATTTCCTGTTACAACCCTCAGGTCACTCTCTGTCACTATGGGAAGTCAGGTCAGGAACTCAAGACAGGAACCTGGAGGCAGGTACTGAAGTAGAGTCTTGAAGGGATGCTGCTTACTGGCTTGCTTTCTCCACGGCTTGCTCAGCCTGCTTTCTTATACATCTCAGGACCACCAGCCCAGGGGTGGCACTGGCCACAGTTGGCTGGTCCCTTCTACAGGAGTCTTTAATCAAGAACATACCCCACAGGCTTGCCTACAAGTTGCTCTGATGGGGACATTTTCTCAGCTGGGGTTCCCTCTTCTGTAGTGATTCTAGCTTGTGTGGCAGGTGGACAAGGGGCCAGTTGTTCTGGTTAGTGTTTTCTTGACTTGACAATCACTAGAACCATCAGGGAAGAGGAACTTCACTTGAGAAAATGTCTTCACCAGATTGTCCATAATAGTTTCTTTCCCGGCTACCCCCACCAGGCATTTTCTTGATTAATGATTGATGCTGAAGAACCCAGAACACTGTGGGTGGTCCTGGGTGGTATAAGATCAGGCTGAGCAAGTCAGGGGGACAAGCAGCATTGTCCATGGTTTCTGCTCTCAGTACCTGCCTCTAGACTCCTGCCTTGGTTTCTTCAGTGTCCAACTATATATATAAATCAAATAACTCCTTTCCTCCCTCGGCTGCTTTTGGTCACATTGTTTTATCCCAGCAACAGAAGCCTAAGTAAGAGCTTCTATTGCTGTGTGCTCTCCTGAGATGAAGGAGAATGAGCATCCACTAGAACTAGAAGTCCTGGTTAGTGAAGAAACTTAGTAACTTTTCGAGAAGCTCACCTTGCCCAAATAATGCCATTTGGGTTTACTTTAGTACACAGACAGCTTCCAGCCTTCCTTTCGCTCCCATTCTCCTACCTAGCTGGTCACCCCAATTTTTATCTGCAGGGTCCCCCATCCTCCCTCCCACCCCTTCCTTTTCTTCCCTCATGTGTCATCTGACTTCTGAAATGGCAGATTCTTTTCTTGCAAGTGCCCATCCATTGCGCTAGACCATTTCTTTAAAGCACTCTCTGACCATCTTCATCTCTCAAAACACAGAGTCTAAACCTGGCCTCAGCCTTGGCTCTGCAATGGCTGGGATCCCAACGCCAGTGCTCAGTGCTTTCTCAGAGCCAAGCTCCTGCTGAGCAATGACATTTTCCTTGGATTTGCAATGTCCAAAGAAGTCTGTTATCACCTTTATTGTTCTGGAGGGACAATCATTTAAGAGCACTATTTACATGTTTTTGATAACAACAACAATAATAGCAAGGTCGGTGATGATAACCCAGCCTTTTTTCCATTGTAGAAACTTCCAGTCATTCACCCTCCCGACCCTGAAAATAGTCTTTGCTCTCTGAACTCTTCTCTTCTGGGACAGGACCTGGGTTTCTGTATCTAATACCCAAGCTCCTGGGATGGTACATCACACAGACTTTTTTTTTGTCCTAATTATTTCAGGTTATGGGAGACTTTTCTGCCCAGACAATGACATTCACGCTCTTTCCCACCCTCCAGGAGGAAGAGACGTGTCAAGGGTCGCCACACCTAAACATCCTGGGTGTGTGTGCAGAGAAACCTCAGCATTGACGAGAAACAGAGGAAGAGATAACTGCTGCTGAGCCCTGGAAGTACAGAGTCTGCCTCATGGCTGAGGTGAGCGTCTAGCTCACTTGTTTCTTCTTTACCATCACTTGAGAGGTATGGCTGCCCCGATAAGGGGGACCAGCTCATCATCATCTTCCCGATCACCAAGTTAACGCCCCTTGCTTGAGGCTAGGGCCACCGTTGCCTCCTGATGGTCGTGTGGCTTCCTTCCATAGCCTCCTGTTTCAGTCTCCTCTGCCTGCGTCAGCTTTCAGAGCCCTGTTAACCTTGAGGCATGCACAGGATCAAATTTCTGAGCCTTTGACGCTGGGCTCTGGACCTGGGTGCTTTGACATGAAGCGGCTGTGCAAGTGACCGCTCTAGGAGCCCAGAAGCTGGTCCTTTCCAGGCAGCTCAGTGTCTCTTCAAGAGCTGACATTCCTCTAGACACAACAATGTCACTCACAGGAGATCACCGAACAAATGCATAAGTTCATGTGTACAAAGACACCCCAGTCGTTTCTATCTTTTCCCCCTTTTCACCCGGAGGACGTGGCAGTGGTAATTTTACCTCACAGGCTGTCCCCGGAATTTGGGTGAATTCCAGAGCCTCTCTAGCTCCAGCTCAGGCAGCACCGATGGAAACCGAATCTCTTACTAGAACGGTAAGGGGGAGGGTTGGTGATGGGATGCCAGTTGCTTAGGTAATCTGCCAAGCACAGACGTGAGTGATGCAGTGGCTTTAGGCAGTGACCAAATGATTAGACAGCCATGCTGGGGGCACAAGTGGGGGCCTGGCTGCAGAACAGCAGGCTGCCTGGGTGACTTAGCCCTGGACCTGGGGGCTGGTCCTGTTCTGCCTTGCTTTTGCTGGGGGTAGAACCATAAAGGCAAGCTTGCAAACAGACTTGGAAATCACACGAGGTCAGGAGAGGAGCCACACGGGCACACGCTTGCAGCCTTTCCCTGGTATGGCAGCTACATGATACTCTGATACTCCGTTTGTTCCCCTCTCCTAGAGATGGACCTTCACACTACCCGTTCATTCTCCAGGGTATCCCAGCAACACAATCACCTCCTAAACTACCCTGGAGGAGGCAAGGAGAACTCCTCCCACCAAGGATCATCAAGGTGACATTCTTTGTAATGAAGGAGAAAACAGAAACAATCCGGTCCATTTGGTACAGCCCAACTGAAATTAAGGGTCAGTCAGACAATGGGACAATATGGAGCCATTAGACTGGAAAATCTAAGCTCTACAAAGAGTTCCGTTAAAAGGAGACGAGGAAACCCCATTTTTAATCTTGCCCCAGTTTTGTTAAATCATAGACGTGAGACTGTAAGTGTAGAGAAATGATTGAATGAGATTCGCCCACATGCTAACAACAGTTATCCCTGGGTGGAGGATCTCTGAGGAGCCCTTTCGTGTCCCACGGCATTGCCCAAAGTGTTACCATGAGCCCGTGTGTGTTTAGTCACTTGAAAAAGCTGCCTTCATCTTGCAGTAATAAACTCCCATTGAACAAATGAAACGCTGGAGCGGTGGCCAGTCCCAGATCCTGGGGAAACACAGCTGAGAGCGAGACTGCCCTGCCTGAGATTAGCAGGGTCAGTGTACCCTGGGTCAGATGACTTCCATGGTGACTCTTCCTATTTCGAGAGTCGATTCTTAAGACGCCAAACGCTATCTCCGTATCAAAACTATTTATAAGAATCATTTCCTCCATGATGAGCTGGAGGTTCTACTAAGCACTCGCGTGTTTAGATGACATCATCCCCGAGATTTATGTGAAATGACTCCTTCCCTTGATCTTATCAGGGGTTTCAGTACTTGAGTTCCTTATGGCGCTTTGTGTTTAAATCATATCTGAAGAAGCAGCCATTCGTCAAAGTTTAATTGTTTCCATTATCCGCCCCCACACCCCCACTGGGGAACTTTCCAGATAGCACCAGGCAGGTTTGTTAATGAATCAAGCCAAGAACATGGAGCATATCTGCAAGCTGCATGTTCGAGGCTGGCTCTTGCACGTTAGCTGTGTTACTTTGAGCAGGTGTGTGTGTATGTTTGTGTGCATGTGTGTGCATGTTTGTGTGCGTGTGCATGTATGTGTGTGCATGTGTATGTGTGCATGTGTATGTGCACGTGTATGTTCATAAGATTTAATTTCTCTATAACTGTGTTAGGGAATTTACTGAGTCAGACCCTCAGGTGGGGACTTTCTTCTATAGGGAAATCTCTCCTCTGCTTGTAAGAACCCTAACTGACTGAATGATCTCCCAGAGAGGAACTTTATTCCAACAGATAAAGTATCTTCAGAGCAACTTAGATTCCCATTGGACTAAATAGCTGGTGAGCGTAGCTCAGCCGAGTTAATGCGCAGAGAAGGTCCTCTCCCCTCAGACGCCTTGGGAATGTGTGATCGTGCATCCTGACATATATGATCTTGTTTTCTAGTTCTTCTAAAGGCTGCTGGAAAGTATGCTGCTCTGTACCAAGCGTCTTCAGGAATGTACACATTCTGCACACAGAACAGAACCCCCGCCATCAGGAGACAGACAAGGCCATTGGAGACATAGCCCATCCATAAAACACAGACAGAAGCCTCAGGAGAGAACAGCCTCACTGCCACTTTAATCTTATGTATGCCTGCTTATAAAACTCTAAGAAGATAGCTTTCTGGGGGTTAAGTAACACAAACAGAGGGAAGGGAAAGAAAGGGAAGGGGAGGGGAGGGGAGAGGAGGAGAGGGGAGGAAGGGGAGGGGAGGGAAGGGAAGGGAAGGAGGAAGGTTATGCTCACTCAGAAGACAGTGCACATAGCAGAGATGAGGAGGTGAGGAGGAGGAGTGAGGAAGCACACAGCCTGACTGATGGACTAGGAAGCTGTAACACCATGTGATGGAGGAAGGACATTGGTTAATTATAATAAAGAAACTGCCTAGGCCCCTTGATAGGCCAACCCTTAGGTGGGTGGAGTAAACAGAAGAGAATGCTGGGAGAAAGAAGCTTAGTCAAGGAGTCGCCATGGTTCTCCCACTCCAGACAGACGCAGGTTAAGATCCTCCCTGGTAAGCCACCTCGTGGGCTACACAGAATATTAGAAATGGGTTAGAACAATATGTAAGAGCTTGCCAATAAGAGGCTACAGATAACGGGCCAGGCAGTGTTTAAAAAAATACAGTTTCTGTGTAATTATTTCGGGCATAAGCTAGCCATGTGGGCGGCCGGGTGCCGGGAACACAGCCCTGCTGCTCTTAATGCAACAACCATGGACAAGTCCCTGCAGTGCTATATCCTGCATGTGCTGGTCATAGTTCGTATGTTGAACCCCTAACCTCCAGCTGGGTTTGATGGCTCAGGCCTGTCACCTCAGCACTTGGGAATCTGAGGTAGAAGCATAACTGTGAATTCTAGGAATGAGATCCTGACTCAAAAATGAAAAAGAAGGAAAGGGAGGAGGAAGAAGGAGAAGAAAGGAAAGGGGTGGGGTTGGGAACGGTGGTTCACTTTGTAACCTCAAGAAAGGCTGGTGCAAGTTTCAGGTCAGGCAAGGCTGCACAGTGAAACGGAGTTTCAAAAACCAACAAAAACTACTTTATATTTCTGTGCGTCTGTCTGTCTGTGGTGTATGTGTACATTATAAGTGTTGCCCATGAGGCCAGAAGAGGACACTGGGTCCCTGAACCTGGACTTACATATGGTTGTAAGTCACCTGATTTGGGGCTGGAAACTGAGCCCAGGTCCTCTGCAAGTGTACCATGTACTTTTGGTGGGGGAGTTGGAGACAGGGTTTCTCTGTAGCTTTGGTGCCTGTCCTGCCTGTCCTGGAACTAGTTCTTGTAGACCAGGCTGGCCTTGAACTCAGAGAGATCTGCCTGCCTCTGTCTCCTGAGTGCTGGGATTAAAGGTGTGCGCCACCACTGCCCAGCTGTACCAAGTCCTCTTAACCGCTGAATCATCTGTAATAATAATCTTTTTAAAAGTCAAACATAAATAAATAATAGAGGTAAAAGGCTATAGGAAGCTGAGTGGGAAGTTAAGGCAGAGACTTAGGGGTAAATCACAACACAAGGATGCTAGGACATAGAAAGTTGTCAAAAGACAAGGGCAAGGCTGGGACAAGATCTCTCTGTATAGCCCTGGGTGGCCTTGGAACTCACTATGTAAATCTGGCCAGTTTAGAACTCACAGAAATCCGTCAGCCTCTGCCTTCTGACTGCTGGGATTAAAGGTGTGGGCTACCATGCTCACAGTGAACTAGCGTCCTCAGGTGGAGAGTCCTTTCCCCTAGGAAGCTACTTACTGTCCCATCTGAGCGTTAGACGCTGGAGCTGCTGGCCATAGCCAGACAGAAACGAAGACGTCTGTAGAGGTTGAGTCGGCTTCGTCATCTGCTGTCACACATTCCTCCAAACCCAGCAGCAGAAACAAGTCATCCTCATTACCGAATATAGCTCTCAACCACAAGTTCAGTCAGTCTCCCTGCGTCTAGATCAAGGGGGTTACAGGGTGGAAGTAGAGTCCAGGCTCAGGAGGATAAATTATTCCTTGCCTCTTCCCGCTCTGGTGGCTGCCAGATTTCCTTGGCATGTGACCACACCATATCCATTGATTTTTTTTATGATATATTTATTCATTATGTAGACAGCATGTTTGCCTGCATGTCAGAAAAAGGCATCAGTCTCATTATAGATGGTTGTGAGCCACCATGCGGTTGCTGGGGATTGAAGTCCAGATCTCTGGAAGAGCAGTCAATGCTCTTAACCTCGGAGGCCCTTCTCCAGCCCCATCATATCCATTGCTAAGGCCAGTATGTTTGAATCTATTTACCCCGTGTTGCCTTCTCTGCATAGACCAAATCACTTTTTGTCTCTCTTCTAGGGATGGGTGTGATTGCACTTAAGGCCTCCTTGCACAATGCAGGATAAACGGTGGTCGTGCTAGGAGTAATGGCTCACACCCGTGATGACAGTACCTGGAAAGCAGAGGGAGGGGGATTGCTGTAAGTCTGGGGCCAGCCTGGTCTATTTCGGGTTCCAGAATAGACAGGCATATTGATTACTTTTCTGTTGTCATGACAAAATACCAGGACCAAGGCAAGTTATAAAAGATGCATTTAATTTGGGGTTCACGATTCCAGGGCTTTAAAGTCTATGACCATTATTATTACGGCAGAAAGCATGGCAGCAACAGGCAGGCAAGTCACTGGGCAGTAACTGAGAGCTTACATCTGGTCCACAAGCATGAAGCAGAGAGAGAGAGACAGAGACAGAGACAGACGAAGGAGAGACTGGGAATGGAGTGGGTTTTTGAAATTTCATAATCCACTCCAAATAACACACTTCCTCTAACAAGGCCACACCTAATCTTTCCCAAACAATTACATCAACTGGGGACCAAACGTTCAAATATCTAATCCCTATGGAGGCCATTTTCATTCAAACCATCACATCAGGACCATATAATGAGACCCTGTCTCAAATAGATAAATAAATAAATAAATAAATAAGATAATAAGATATCTTTAATTATACCTGCATATTTTTCCCCCCTAAAGTAAACATGCCCAAACTTTAACCCATGGGCCATATGCAGTCAAGGAAAGACATAATGTTGCTCAAGTATAAATTATAACCTTACTTTCAAAGTATGAGTTTTTTTTTTTTTTTAATGTGTGATTTTTTTCGTCTGTGACTTCTCGCACAGGGCTCCAGTGTGACTCCATAGTGCATGGGCGGCAGTCAGAGGCCAAATGTGGGAGTCGGTTCTTTCCTACTGCCCTGGGTTCCAGGAATTGAACTCTGGTCACTGGTACACAGCAAGGGCTTTTGCCCTCTGAGCTCGCTTGCCAGCCTGTTAACTAACGGTCTTCATCCCCTTTGTAAACAGAAAGGCCGAAGCGAACCTGCGTGGTGACCCTGCCAGTCCTGGGAGCAACAGGACTTTCCACTGTGACACGCCGGCTCCCAGCTGGAACACCTCTGCAGCTATTCCGCTCACCCACGGGACCAATGGAAGCCAAACATTTTTCCTTCTCATCACCTCCTCCACTCCCTGCCGGGAGCTTTCCTGCTGTTCCTCCGCTCCGGATGGAATGATGCACCGGGACACTAGTGATAGCTGAAGCCAGGACATAAAAGCTGGGCAAGCCAATGAGCAAAACGTGAAATAGCTTGGTAAACACATGTGGGAGCCTGGGGTGGACACATAAGTCCAGACCTGCCTCACGAGGCAGGAAATGTTGCCTAAAGAGTCCGCTCTTCCGCGGGTAGCCAGAGGGCAGGAGCCACCTTAGGCAGCTGTGACCCTGTGCTAAATGGAACGCTGCAGCTGAGACAGGCCACGTCAGGACATTTAAGTCACTGCAGAAACGAAGGGACTTTTAGTTCGGGAGAATAAAGGCCTTGGTTTCCAGGGCGCAGCTTCTGCTGTTTTTGAGCAGCACAGCCTAGTCAAGCCTCAACTTCTTAGCCATAGCTGCCGCGTCCGTCGGCAGCGGCACGAGAGCTCCGGGAGGCGCCCGCAGTAGACTGCAGAGTTACTGTCAGAGATCTCTGCGCTGAGGGAACCAGGACTTTTGACTTCACCGCAGAAAATAGCTTTAGGATGAGGCACTATGAAGCAGAATAGAATATTAAGAATAAATATTTTTAAAAATTGTGTGTGCATGCTAAGCATGTGTGTGTATGTGTGTTGTATTTACATGCTCGTGTTTGTGGTAAGTATATGCTGGTCTGTATATGTGGTATGTATATACTCTGTGTGTGTGTGTGTGGTGTACATGCTCGTGAGTGTGAATGTATATAAAGTGGAGGTTGTATAAACTGAGGACCTGGCTGTGCTAAAGTATGGTCAAAAAGAAGGTTTTTATTGTAGGTAAGAGGGAGAGGAGAGCCATAGGTCTGGAAGAGTCCACAGCAGGGAGAGATAGTAGCAGACTAAACATGGCTAGCAGACTAAATGGGGCCATGAGATGGGGTGAGGGGAGTGAGGAAGAAAAAGAAGGCAGGGAAAGAAGAGAGAGAGAGAGAGAGAGAGAGAGAGAGAGAGAGAGAGAGAGAGAGCGCCAAGAGGGTGCATGGCTGAAATGGCAGGGTTATACAGGAATGAGAACCATGAGCTGGGCAAGGTTTAGCATAGGGGCGGGTGAGAAGAGAGAGCTAAGAGGAGCCTCAGGTACAGAGTGAGCCTTGGTATGGTAATAGGGACAATAGCTGTCCATCTGCCCTGAGTTCCTTTTGGATCGGACAACATGTACGTGTGTGTGTTCATGCAGGTGAATGCCAAAAGTCAGTGTTAGGTGTTTCTCTTAATTGTTCTCCATCCCTTTTTGGGAACAAGGTCTCTCCCTGAACCCGGAGCTCATCACTTCAACAAGGTTAGTTAGCCTTGTTGTAGCCAACAAGCTCTTTACAGACTGACTTGTCTGTGCACCCTGCCAGCACTGGAGTTACAGGGTGTGCCTCTGTGTCGGGCTTTGCCCTGATCTGAGGATCTGAATTCAGGTCCTTCATGCACTCATGGCAAGCACTGATTGATTGAGTCAGCTCCCCAGCCCTGGAGAGGATTTTTTGGTTTTTTGGGTCAGAGTGTTCTTAACTCTCAACTAAATACACCTTTGCTGAAAACCCAGGGACAACTGACAGGAAATGGCTAACAAAAGTCACCTCTACCAAGAAACTCTGCTCCCTACAGAAAGAACAAAGCGTCCTGGGAGAGCATGGTCTGAGCAGACACAGTGAACATGTCTGAATGAGTCACACTTGTCCCTGCTTCCTGAGTGCAGGAAGCCTGCTGCCGAAAGCCTGCAGACGCGCCCTTGTCTTGGTTGCTCCTTACTGTCCATGTTGTTCTTCCCATTCCTATGGAGCGGGGAAAATAGAATGGAGACCAGCTATAACACATTTTGCTAATGTAGCAGAAACTTCTAAAGATATTTATTACCTATATTATTATTATTATTTTGGTTTTTTGGGACAGGGCATCTCTGTGTAGCCCTGGCTATACTGGAACTTACTCTGATCTGCCTGCCTCTGCCTCCCGATCACTGGGACTAAAGAAGTGAGCCACCACTGCCCAAGTTACTTTACTCTTAATCGTGTGTGTGTGGGTGTGTGGGTGTTTGTGAGTGTGTGTGTGTGTGTGTGTGTAGGTATTGTGCAGGTGACCTCAGAGACTGGAGGAATCAGATTCCATGAAGCTGGAGTTACAGATGGTTATAAGCGACTAGATGTGGGTGCTGGGAATTGAACTCGGGTCCTCCAGAAGAACAATATACGCTGTCAGTGGTTGAGCCCTCTCTCCAGCCCTATCACAGAGGTTTTTAAGCAAGGAGGGAAAGGCATTGATTGGTGTTGTGCTATGAGATTCCTCCGGTGGCAACGGGAGTGGGCTGGAGTTGACCTGAAGGGCTGGAGGTCATTTGGGAGGCCGTGGTTATGGCATAGGCTCAGGGGGAGCAAATTACCACTTGCCTCCCAGCCTTGCTACACAAATGTGGTCTGCAGAACAGTAGCCTGGGTGTCACCCTGAGCTCAGGCAGAAGTGTGAGCCTCGCCCAGAGTATTGTAAAAGGAACAAGAGACTCTCCAAACTCTAAGCTACCCTAAAATCTGACCAGCATTGACAGAGTTCACTGAAATTTCCCTTTGTTTTTAACCACAGATCCCTTTAAGAATCAGAGGGAAGTCAAATGTGGTAGGGGGAACAAAGAGTGTATCTGTGTACCAGCACAGTAACATCTGGAGGGGATCCACAGAAGGGCATCGGGGCCACAGCTGGGTCTCAAGGAATCCCAGCTCTTAGCTTATTAGCAGTTTAGTTGGGGAGTGGGGGATGGTAAGCGTCTGCAGGAGTTCCAGAAAACGTTAACCCTGAAATACAGGTGTCTGCACAGAGACCATGACGATGATCATGGTCATTGCTGCAAGGGCCAGACTCCGTTCCCATCTTACCCTCCCCCCCACCAGTATTGTTACCCCAAACCTCTGGTGATCTGAGCAGAGACCCTGGAGAGACAAAACGGGGCCCACCCTGGCTTCCTGGGGCAGGACAGGGCCTGCCTGTGTGTTTTTCTTTAGTTTCAGAAAAGCCAAAATTAGCCTAGCCGTTGTTTCTTCTCTCGGGAGCCTCTAAATTGTATCTCAGGAAAAGATTATTGTGCTCTGGGGACCGTATCTTATCATGGGGTGTGGCGGGGGGGGGGGGGGGAGTTGAAGGAAAATGGTCTTTGACAAATTGGTTCAACTCGGACAATCACATGACTTCCCACCACATAACTGCCCACCCCGGCTTCAGTAAAGCTATTGTGTCAATTCCCAAATATTTAGCCAAGCAGGAGGCCTGAGAGAGGGGGGCAGCTCCGAGGTTTGATGACCCCTTTGCATTTTCTCTCTCTGCCTGTGGTGACACCAGGGAGGCTCTGGATCCAGGACTTCTGCTGTTACTGAACCACCACTAATTCTGAAGGACTGGAAGCAGACTGTTAGGGGCCCTCACCACCTTTTCGTCTGAGGTGTGAACTCCGGAGACTGGAGCGCTGGAGCCAAAGTGTGCTTCAGCTTGTCTCTTTCTCAGCTTCAGTTCGGGACCCTTGCTGACCCCTCTGAAGAGAAATAAAACTATCCTCGTGGCCAAAATGGCTCAGAAGACAAAATCATGTGTATTGAGCCAGGGAACAAAATGTGACCTGCGTTGTCAGAGCTGGAAATCCACACAAAGGATTCAAGGCATGACCAGGCATTTGCCCTTACGCAATCTTCAAACGCTCCTGGGTCTGCTGAGAGGGAGCATGAGCTCCCAGTGACCTCACTGAGCCTTGCTCAGCATGCGGTCGGGGGACATTCGGGGGACAAGGCTGGGGGTGGGCAGCCACACGTGAGAACGAGCGTTATCGATGGGGACCGTTTTCCCCTGTCATGCGGTCATCTGTCTGATATGCCCATGGGTGGAGGTGGGCAGGAGGGAAGGGAGTGTCTAGAAAAGAGCAATGAGGTCATCGGAGCACCAGGCTTTCCTCGCTGACCACTGGTCACAATTGTCTTCCTGCTTGGGTTCCCAGGGGCTTTACCTCGGCTCCCACGGATGCTTTGAATACACACATTTTCTTCCATCTCAAACGCTGACCTGACAGTCAGATAGGCAATATATTATTTGTCAAGAGATTTGAGATTTATCTGGAAGCTGCAACTTGTTCCCAGCCTTGCCGATAGCCCTGCTGTATTGGACTCTTATGTGCGTGCAATGCTCTTCCTGCCGCAGAAGCCCCTAACTGGGCGCGACCCCATGGGCAGCCCTCGGCCTTGCCCTAGCCCTCTCTGCCTCTCCATGACTTCTTACCAGAATGTGGGGTTCCTCCTCACTCCTCTACACCTCCCCCCGCATGTCACTGACCCAGTGTTACCGGTGAGAAGTCTAGACCCGGGAATCCACAGAGACTCTGCAGCTCGGGGGTGTAGCAGGAGGTCTGAGGACTGACTTAGCACCAGTCTTTTTAGTTCCACTGTGGAGCACACTGCAGACACCTGCAGCCTTAGACGAACAACCACACGACCCGCCCCCCTCCGGGGACCTTCAATAACCAATACAGCTAAAGCTTCCTGAACCACCGGTCCTTTGTCTTCACTGCATAGAGGTTTTTGCCGGGTTTTGAACAACTCACACAACAGATGGTTTCGAATCTGAGATTAGGCTTGTGGGATATTTTTCTCCTTCCTTAAAGAAGCAAACACCTGCCTTGGAATCCCAGGCGTCGGCTTCACTGGGAGTACAGATGTCGGTAGTCTTGAACAGCGTGGCCTTCAGAGCAGCGGTTGCAACCCCTTTGTGTGTAGGGGGGACCATGTCACAGGGGTCACCTAAGGCCATTGGAAAACACAGATACTTAGGTTACGTTTCACAATAGTGGCAAAATTACAGTTATGAAGTAGCAATGAACATAATGTTATGGTTGGGGGTCACAACCCGTGAGGGGCTTTATTAAAGGGCCACAGCATTAGGAAGGTTGAGAACCACTCTAGAAGATAATAGGGTCCACTAAGTACAGCCTTCTGAATAGCGGGCAGAAAGGACTGGTCATTTTCCTTAAAAGGACAATCTCACTATCTGAGAAAATAGATGTATTCCCATCCTAAGGCTCCAAGGTAATCACAGAAAAGCCCTTCAGATGCACCTCTGTGGCGGAGAGGGGTGGAGAGGGGAGGTGCAGCTCGGGGAGCAGGATAGGGCTCAAACGAGGTCTGGCAGGATTTAAGGAATGGGGAGGAGCCTCTGCGGGTGAACAGTACACCACTGGAAGTGAGCCAAGGTCAGCAAAGGTGAAAGCCGCCCTGACAGCCTGCCTGCTACGAAAAGCCTTTGGTGGAGCCAGCTGCAGACACAGTAGGACCAGTGTCCGACAGTGACACCAGGAGGTAGTAAGCTGTCACAGCAGAGGTAACGGTTAGGGTTTCTTGGTCTTACTTACCTAGCACTGGTCTCTTTTTACCACAAAGAACTTACACGAAGCTCTTACTAACGCTTACTATGTGTCTTTTGGTTGTTCAGATTTATTTATTGCTGCATTGTATACACATACACATACTCGTCAATAGATATATTTTTTATGACATACAGTCATTTACTGTAACTATTTGTGCTGGGGCTTGCTCTGTGGTCATCTGGCCTTGAGCCCCCGACCCTCCTGTTTCTGTCTACTGAGTGCTGGGATTATAGGCAAGCACAGCCACACTGGCCCCTGTTCAGCCTCTAGTGTGGAACCAGAAAAACAAGTACCACACAGTGTTTCTGCCCTCAAAATTTGCAAATGTTGAATGCAGTCATGGGGCCCCAAGCCCAGTCACTAAATCAGGGTACATGAAAGGTGGGGCCAGGAAATGCGAATGAAATCCGAACCTCGAACAAACCACAGGTAATTCTGGAGCACAGGCAGGGTGGGGGATTGCTGCCTTGCATTTAGGCATGGTCGCAACCCAGAAAGAACAGGCAGGCCTGTTTCCAGGAACTGTCTAGCTTTGAAATCCTCTTGCTTAGAGAGGAGTTGCATAGCCGAAACTGCCTTTCTGTCATAAAGGCACAGGTAACGGTACGCATACAGGGGCCAGACAGGTAGGCACCCATGTGCTCCGGGCTCTTGACCTTCCTCCTCCTGGAAGATCATAATCTGCTCTTCCAAGCCAGACCCAAAGGTCCCATCCTTGGTGAATGCCTCCCTGCTCAGGCCTTAGAAAGGGTTCTAGCAGTAGAAATACCTCCCAACCTCCCCCACCCCCGGGGCACTGTGTTCTCCTCTCTAGTCAACACAGGCCAAGACTGGGTGGTTTTTTTTTTTTTTTCTACTCTTCCCAGGCCCAGCAGCGTGACTTGCAAACACTAACCCCTCAGAAGGCATTAGCTTAATGGATATAAAGGAAGGGGAGACCAAAGAAGATGGAGGGGCAGAGAAGGCAGGGGAGGGCTGCAGAAATGTGGCCCCATTCACAGGATAGCTAGTGAAGCCTGATTCAATGCTGGCCCCTTGCGAGAATGTGACCTTTGTTCGGTACCCTGAGAGTCGGAGCACTGGCCTATCTCCCAGGACCTGAGTACAGAGAGGTGAAATTACCGTTGTACCAAAAAACGCTCGTAGTCTCACAACTCTGTGTGAGAGGAAGATATTAATTATCTCATTTTACAGCCGAGGAAACTAAGGAAGGTCATCCACAGAGCTGGAGTGCAGCTGGGGTGGGGGTGGGGTGGGGTGTGTGTGTGTGTGTGTGTGTGTGTGTGTGTGTGTAGGACACTCGCAGAGCATTCACAAGGCGCA